TATCTATCTATCTATCTATCTATCTATCTATCTATCTATCTATCTATCTATCTATCTATCTATCTATCTATCATCTATCTCTCCTTCTCCCTCTCTCATATCTATCTATATCTATATCTATATCTATATCTATATCTATCTATCTATCTATCTATCTATCTATCTATCTATCTATCTATCTATCTATCTATCTATCCCTTTTTATAATTGCTATTTAACCTTTGTCTATTCATCATGAATCTCTATAATTATTTTTACATACATACATACATACGTATCACTTTCTTGCCTCCATATTTTTTGCAACAACCTTGTGCCTTCTCAACCTTTCCCCCCCCCGCTCCTCCTCTCTCCTCCTCCTCCTTACTCTCTCTCCTACTCTTACTTCCCATCCCTTACTTCCTCTGCTTCATCCTTTCTTCCTTTCCCTCCTCCCTCCTTTGCATTGTTGCCCTTCCTTATTTACTTCCTCTGATGGGTTCTCGTTAACAGCGATCCCAACTTTATATTTTCATGCAAGTAATTTCCTCTGTTGCAACACAGAATATTTCTAATATTAATTCCAATAACTAATGCAATCAAGGTAGTTCTTGAGTGGGGGAGGATCCCCATTTCGGGAGCCACCACCGAAAAGGCCCCGTGCCAACGAAAGGACCCCCACCACGCCAGAGGGTCATTTTTCAGCCGGTCTTTTTGGCCGGGATGTTGACATGCAGTCCTCCTCTTCCAGGGCGGGAGCATGCTGGACTCCTAGGCTCCCACCGGCCCCCCCGGAAAGGATGATCGTGGCCTCTCCCCTGCCTGCTCTCTTTCTCTTCCTGGCATCGGCTGCTTCCTTCCCCAGAGATCTGGCTCCCTTCCACGTGGTCAGCGAGACAGGTGAGGCAACCCCACTCCCGCGCGAACCCCAGGCAAAACTTCGGGGTGGGTTTCTCTTGCAAAGAGCACCCCCCCCCCGCTCTCTCCCTTGGATAAAGGATTGGCATGAGAACAGTTGGAGGTTTGGCTTCCCAGCTTCATCCCCTCCGGACTGTAAACCCAAAATCTGTTGATGGAGAACCTTTTCCTCATTTTTCATGGAATCTCTGGCTGGAGGGGGGGTCTTGGAGGTCCAGGGGAAGGATGCTGTAATATATCCATTCCCTCCCACTCCAGGGGAAGGATGCTGTAAAATCTCCAATCCTTCCCTCCATTCCCCAGCCAGAGGTGATATTTGCCGGTTCTCCGGAACGACTCAACATTTCCGCTACCGTTTCTCCAGAACTTGTCAGAACCGGCTGAATTTCGCCCCCCCGGTCTGTACCCCCAACTGATGCTCTTTATCATGTTTTCTCTCCCCCCCCACCACCACCAGGAACCCACTTGTACCCCTCCTTCCGTGGCTTGGGGGGAGAGAATGACTCGGACACTTTGGGCCTGGACTTCCAAAGCATGTTGCAAATTAACCACACACTCTTTGTGGCTGCCCGGTAAGCGAGGGAGGAGAGGGGGGGGGAGGTCCAGGTGTGGGTGGGGGGGTGTCTCCCCATGCCATCCGAACCTTTCTTCCTTGCAGCTCAAACCCCACCGGGGAGCAGTTTCGAGAGAGGCATCCTGCGGAGTCCGATGCTCTTATTTTTTCTCTCCTTTCCCCGTCCCCGATGCCAGGGACATGCGCCATGTGCTGCGAAGGGAAAAGGGGAGGGGGAGGGGAAGCTTTTCTTTTCAAAGAATGACCCTTTATTCAAGGAGAAAAGGCTGGCCTCGGAGGGGGTGGGCATTGCACCCTCTTTCTGGGGCTAGGAAGCCGTGCCAAAAAAAGGTGAATTTGTGGGGTCCCTAAATTCACCCACCGCGAAAGGCTAAAGAATTCGGGCAGAGCATAGAAAAATGGAAATTAGCACCCAGAACTGTGGAGTGGGGGGGGGGTTTCCTCTCTCTTTTTCTTCTCCCCCCCCCACCAAATTTGGATGCAGAGATTAAAAATTGGAGGATGCTCCCAGCTCAAAAGCGTAAAACAAAGCTTGTGTTTTTTCCACTCCAGGATTCTTTTGTGTCCGTATTTAATCTGTTTCTCTCTTTCTCTTCCTTTTCCCTCTTTCCCCCACTGCCCCTTTCTGGATTTTAGGGACCACGTCTTCGCTTTTGACCTCGGACAGACTGCGAGCAGTTTCTCTCCCAAGAGGGTGAGCTGGATGTCCTTGCTGGTGCCCGTCCTTTGGAGTGGAGGGTCTTTCCATTTTCACTTCCTCCCACCCTGGGAAAGTTTTCCCGAAAGTTTTATATTCTTTCTTTTTTTTTTGCTGTTATTGTTTGGCCTCCAGCGAGAAAGTTTGTTTCAAAGCCCACAAAAATCGGTCTCTTTGTGTCTTCTGAGTAACATTTTCCTTTCTTTGTGGCCCCCAGTCTTTAAGTGAATCGCTGCAGCTGTTAAACGAGACGCACCGTTCTTAAACAAAGCTGGCTTGTAAAAGGGGGAGGGGGGGTGTCCGGTGACCCCCTGGGACTCTGCAACCGTCATAAATATGAGTCAGTGGCCGCAGGGATATTGCAATGCTCGTAAGTGTGAAAAAATGGCCGCAAGTCACTTTTTCCAGCCCCATTGTAACTTCGGACGGTCGCTAAATGAACTGTAGGGCTCCTCGCATTGGGGGCTGCATCCAATCTCTTCTCCTCAAGGCCC